GCAACACACACACACGCACAGACACACACACTGTTTCTCTCTCCGTCTCTCGGCAGGTGGACGGGGTTGTTTTGGCTCGGCTGCAGGGCAGCAGCTTGACTCCGTTTGAGCCAATGAGCCAAAATAATAGCCGACGATTCCAGAGTTATTGTCAGCGCTTTCCCCCCTCTGCTTTTCCCAGAATCCTTCTCAGCTGTGCGGGATCCGAATCAGAACGTCGCCCTCGGATGAATTCATTCGCTTACGCATGAAAATACAACAGTGGGATCACCAGTTGTTTGTACTGTACGCTCCAAACCATACAGACAAAACAAGGAAAGATGATTTTTGAAACTGCCTAATCCACTCTGATTGATTCAAGCGCCAAAATGTTGCAGGCAAAAAAATATAAATTGAAGGAAATGCGCAGAAAAACATCTAGAATGACGTGTGTTGGTATTTTACTCAGTGCAGACATCATACAGTTTAAACAAGGAGCTGAAGAATTTTCAGAATATGTGTGTGTGATATTTTCAACATTATTTACATCCTTAAAGCAACTTAAGAAGCGAATAATGGAGAGAACTGCAGTTTAAATACTTAGCATGGTGAATGCGCTGTGAATCTCAACACTTCCTCTTGCCTAATTTTTCTTTTAACACAATAAACTCCCCTCACACCTTATTTTTTTTCTCACGGGGTATCCTCCCTCACCCTCATCTCACACCACCCAATCCTGAAAATATGCGACCCACACCCGTGCGTGGGCACTAGACTCCACCCGCTAACCTCACACAACACCAACATACGCAGACACATACTCGCATACACACTCAGCATCCCATACGTCAGAGAAACAGGGAGTAGTGTCTCGTATTTTCATGGAAAGTGTTGTGCTGTCCTCCTTTATTATGTGATTTTTGGCCCGTAATTAGCACTAGTAGATTCTTGCTATGTTTCCATTCAGCTGTCAAGCAGATTTTATTTAAAAAAAAAAAAAAAGACTTCTTAAAACATTATGGAACATGAAGAGTGAATTCAGTGCATTTCCATATGCTGAGCTGAAGGAAATAAATCCTTGAATCTAAACGAGGTGGAAAGAGTCTTTCAAGAACCGATTTGTATTGGACAAGTTGTTTTTGTTGTTGTGGAACATCAGCCGTGGATGTATTTATATATATATTTTTAGAAGGAAGACAAAAACAAGCGATTTGGTTCTAATGAACTAGTGAACAAGAAGATAATGCATAGACAGGTCACAGTTTCAGGCTGTCTAAACCAAACGGCAACCTCTGGGGCTTAAAAACGAAGTTTGGGGCTGCAGTTCCTTTAATGACCACTAGGATGGCTCCAAAAGCACGTTAATCCCCACAGTCTCCCATGGTTAAAAGCCTTTCACTTAAAGTTTAAGTATAAATGGCACAGTCGGTCATTTTTTGAGGTTATTTAATAAAGATTCATTGATTAGTATACGATGTGTATATCTCTGAAAGCAATCTCATAAACTATTAAAAATACATAGGAGTGTGTGTCATTTTGAGGAAGGTGCCATGTTGCCCCACCATTTTGAACACACAGTGGACAACAAAATACCACCTCATATGGCCTCATCTGCACCTTCAAATTCAAGATATGAAGGATCATACCTATGTTTGATCAGTTTTTCAATTCAATTCAATTTTATTTATACAGCGCCAAATCACAGCAACAGTCACCTCAAGGTGCTTCATAGATACAGAGAAAACCCCAACAGTCATATGACCCCCTATGAGCAAGAACTTCGGCGACAGTGGGAAGGAAAAACTCCCTTTTAACAGGAAGAAACCTCCGGCAGAACCAGGCTCAGGGAGGGGCGGGGCCATCTGCTGCGACCGGTTGGGGTGAGAGAAGGAAAACAGGACAAAAGCTGAAAAGGGGTCCTCTTCACTGAAGAAGGGAAAATGTGAAGGAAAGAGACAACACAGCTGGCTCCTCACCTCAAGCCTCAACTCCTGAACTGGATTGAGGACTGACAATGGACCAGCTAAACGACAACAGTTGATTATAAGCTAACATTATATCTCATATTATATAACATTATATATATATATAGCTAATGTCGAGTGCTCTAAAAATCACACTTTCCTTCTTATAAACAGTTTCATTCAATTCGCACATCGTATGAGACTTTATTTAAAAAGCGTCAGAGTCTAACTATGTTTTCTCCACTTCAAAGAAAGTTTCTCTAACAGTAGCAAACAGTCGAACAACAGCTAACCAATGCAGACAAATGTTGTCTGTTGCTGTCTGTCAGGTGTCACCACCACTAATTTGAGTCACTGAATTGATCTTCTCAGCTGTCTCTGTGATGTTTGTGGTTTTTGGAGAATTTTAATGGAATCACGCAGTAAATAACACAGCCTGCTGCGTGGTACAGAACATCATTGCATTACATTCATACAGTTTATAGAGGTAGCTGGATAGTCTAAGCCAATAACTTAGCACGCCACCCTCTCATCCAAATATGGTTACTTCTGATACCAAAACAGCACCCAAATATTGTGGCTTCAAAATGCAAAGCCCAGAAAGCAATGAGTGATGTCAAAGAGTCCATGTCCATCTTTATTTTACAGTCTGTGGTTCAAACAGACCATTTTAACTGATTCGCACATGTATGTGTGGGTTCTTGACCTCTATTTCTGTGTGCGTGTATTTTTGCAGTTTGTCATGGGTGACAGTGGAAGTTCATTTCTCTTAGTGTTCGCCACATCAATCAACATCCCACTAAAAGATACAGCACGCCATCCCCTCTTTCCTTCTCATCCCCTCTTTTCTCTCCCTCTCAGCTCCTCCTGCCCATTTCCTCCCATTTTGCCATCCGCCGCACAATGAAAGAGCCTCTTGGCTTTTATTAATAGTTAAAGTGGCCCCAGCCTGTCACTGGGGACAATGGCTGCAGCCCTGTTAATAAATAAAAATAATAACTAGGAGATGGAGACAGAGAGGGAGTGCAATGGAAAGAGAACAGGCGACACTGCCATTTGTTGTTCCCTCTCACTTGTCAAAGCTCTTTGGCTTAAAAGCCTCTGTCATTGTTGAGGGAGAGGGGGCTGGGGGGGAGGAGGGGAGTGAGAGACAGAGAAAAATAAGGAGAGAGAGAAAGAGGCAGTGCCAGGGGCTAATAGCACCTGTTGGGGTGATGGTGAGACAGCTGTCGTGGGGGGGGGGGGGGGGAACACAGGAGCACACTCTTTCTTCTACTCTTTCTATGCATGTTTTTGCAAAAGACTCTCTATCGACTCGTGCTCCTCCTCTTCGCCCTACCTTCATCCTGCTGTGAACCGATTCCCTGAAGGCTACAGTGGCTTCTGAGTGAAAGCACTGGGGCTGCTGTCTTACTGGTTAAGTGGCAGCGTTGAAAACTCAAGGACAGAACAGGGCAAGGACAGTGGGAAGACGAACAGGAAAAAGTGAGAAGTGGACTTGGCTCGAAGTTCAGCGTTGATCCCGAGGTGTGTGTTTTTTGCAAATGTGTGCTCACTGTAATCAGCAGGGCATGGATGTTGTCGTCTCCACGCCAGAGGAAAGGACCTGATTCAGGCCTTGAGGGAAGCAGAAATTAATGTGCGCTATTTTTTGAGTGTGTGTGATTATGTGAGGGGAGCTTGCGTGCAGGTTTGCAGGTGATCGGGTGTCGTTTAAATCCTTTAAATCTCCAGGTGGTTTGTCAACACTCCACTGTGGACAGAAAGGGAAATAGACGGATGAGAAGGAAAGAAAGAAGTTTAGGCAAAGTGCTGCTTTTTTGTGTACTCTGATTTGTTGTTGAGTGTGGAAGATATGTGTACATTCGTGTCTCTTTTAGAGGAAAAGATGCACTAAGCTGTTCAACTCAACACACCGGACATCCCCCCCTCTCCTCTGTGGAAAACCTGAGTGTTTGTGCATCAGTATGCATGTGTATGGGTTTATGCATGCAGGCTGTCTCACACCAGCGAGATTAAGACTTTTCTTAAATCAGTCTTGTCATTATAGGGGGAGGAAAATAATCTGGGGACAAACAAACTTTTTTCCTGCTGTCAGCGTTTGCAAGTGTGTATACATCTATGTGTGGAGCCACATATACTGTATGAGCACATTCAAGTGTGTGTGTGTTTGCGTTGGCTGATAGGGTTAATCTCCCTACTCAAAGTGTAAAACCTCTCTCCTTAGGAAGGCCTCCCATCCCAAGTGCAGATGGCTCCCAGTAAATAAAGTACTCTCTCTTTCTTTCTCCCTCTTTTGTCTGATCACTCCTCTCTCCTTCTCGTTCACGTCAATCACAGCCAACAGGGTGACTACTCGAGGTTCATGGCCATATATCTGTGTACGCGTTTGTTTTTTTCCGGTGCTTATATGTGCACACATTTTAGGATTGGATCTTTCCAAGTATACACTCACCCGTGTGACATTTCCATTCCCCTCACTGTATGTGTACTTGTGTGCACAACTGTTACCATAGTTTGATTGTAATTAGTGAGTCTGCGAGTGTGTGTTTAGGTAGTGGTTTGTGCGCGTGTGTGTATGTGCGTGCGCCTGTAAGGGTCTGTGTGGAGTGTGTGTTGAAAACAAAGCACTAGCTGATAATGTGTCCATTGTGGCGGGTGCATTAAGGCCCTCTTTGTCTCAGGGCCCACAGGGCTAATGATTCTCTAGCAGCAGGTGAGAGGGAAAAAAGCCTCTCTTTTTTTCGTCTCTCTCTCTCTCCCCCCATCTCCTCCACTTGTCTCTCTCTTTATCTTGCGTTGCGCTCCCTCGCTCTCTCCCTTTTTCGCTCACTTGTTTTTGTTTTTCAGATTTCCTCTCTTTCGATTATCAGCTCCTCTCTTTCCGCCTTTCTCTCCCTCTCTCTCCTGCTGATGCGGCCATTAGGCTGAGCCGCTGCTGCCTTTATTACAGCAAATGGACTTTAAATGAGCTTTATTGTCATGTTGGCCAGCCATCTGAATCCCTCTCTCTCTCCCTCTCCCCTGCCCCCCCGCCCCTCATCCTCCCCTAAACAGAGGCCCCCAGCATTGAGAGGCTGTTGTCAAAGGACTGGAAGGATAAACTTTTGGCCATGGGCTCAGGGCACGTCGGAGAAATTAAAGGTACGGTAAAACTAAATTATGCCAGAACTTAAAGACTTTAACCCTGTGAACTTGATTGAGGCACTGACGATGTCCATTGCGGGAGTAAAACATCTAGAGTTAGATTAAATATATGAGGCAGAAAGACCTAAAGCGTGGTAGGTATGACATTTAGTGATGGGGCCATATTGTAAAGATGACAGCTCAGGTTAAAGTTGACCTAAAATGAACTAATATGAACTGAATTCAGATGAAGTAATCCTAAATGAACTTGATCTGTCCTGAACTAAACCAGGACACCTGCTTCATCTTGTGCGTATGACCAGCGCGTCCAAAAAAAAGAAAAGTTAATGGCGTCTCTGCTAGTCTCGCAGCTCGCTGTTAATTCACTGCTAATCGACCATTTTATCCACAACAACCCTCTTTAACACCCAAGAGCGACACAGGCGGAGTAGGACAGAGGGCAGCAGGGGATACAAAAAGGGAACAAGTGGAGCTGTGCTGTGAATATGCAGGAGCAAGAATCAACGAGAACGAAAGCGAGAGAGGGGAAAAGATATAAGAGAGGCAGAAGAGACTGTGGCCATTATTCCCTGTAACTCCAGGGCAAAGCCGTCGTTCTCCTCCAGTAATTGAGCTTCATTAGGAAGCAAAGCAATATGTAATCAAAGAGCCTCGCGGAGCAGCGTGGCCATCGAGAGCAGGGCTCCATTGATCAAACCTCCTTTTCCCAGCTCCCTGCCGCGCTGACATTTCTGTGTAGGGGCGTCCCGCTTGGCGCACCACACACCAACAGACACAAACGTGCAATGTGTGTGCATGCAGCGGAAGCACACATATGCACGTTTGTGTCTGTTAAGCCGGTGCGTGTCTTACGTAAGAATCTGTGAGAAAAGGTAGAGCTGCGGAGATACTAAAGTGTTTGCTTTAATAGCGTCAGTGTGTAGGTGAGCGCACACATTGCTCTCACACTGTCAGCGCATCTCTTGATTTTTTTTTTTTTTTTGCCCCCATCGAATTCCATTGAAGAGCATTTTGTGGGGAACAAAGTGAGCCACTGCCTCCTGCTCCGTTGGCTTTATTGAGAAGAAACATTGGTAAAAAGGCCCCATGCGGTTCACATAGCGATACACATACACACAATTATGGAACTCATAGTCCTGGAATAAATCTCCCCACGGTGTTATGCTATTAACGTCGCTCCCCCACACTAAAAAGTGACAGCACAGATGAGAACAATTGCTTGAAATCTGGATAACATTTTTATTCATCATTACGTTTATATGAGGGGAAATGCTTAAACCCCATACAAGAGACTTTTAAAGCTGCAACAATCTCTCTTTTTGGGGGGGGGGGAAATAATCTTTGTACAGCTGTTTGCTTTTTCTTTTTTACTTCTGCTTGAAATCTCTGCTAAATATTTATCTCTACACTGCATTCCTTTTTACAATAAAGTTGTGTGAAAAGACACTGTAAAGTCTAGTTCCAAAGTTCCAAAGTGTGAAATGATCGCTTTGCTTAGCTGCTCAAAAGAAAGGAAGAGAAAAGCAACAAAAAGAAAATAAACTGGTGCCATTTATAGTCTTAAATAGTAGCTTTGTACTTGAAGCCATTTTTCTGTGATTGGCTGACCCTCGCAAACACCAGGTAGTTTAGGCTTCTGGACTCTGAGATTAGATACCCGAGGTATCCTCTTCCTTTGGCTGAAGAATAGAAACACTGCCTGAAACACAGCTTCTGGAGGAGGGCTAAACCTAAGCTTTTGGCTCATAAAGATTACTTATTCACTGACCTTGTTATCTTTATTGTCTTTACTCAGGTTTAATATGACCATCTAGGTACTTTAGGTTCATTCTGTACACCACCCATACATAATGAGACAAAACCAGGTTTAAAGTCATTACGACAATTAAAAGGAACAGCTAATATTGTGTGGGGAGAGGATGCTGGCTGAGAGAGAGCAAGAGAGTTGGAGGAGTTTCACTTGGTTCCACTGACCGGTCAGGAGAAGGTAATTGTTGACTGGTCTTCCTAAAACAAATTAGGCAAACAGGATCAGGCAGGTGCACACACAGCTAGCAGGAGCAACAGTGGTATTCCTAATAATGTACTTACTGTGTGCATTTTAAACTCCTCATTTATCTTTAAATAAACAATAAATGCAATAGAAAGGTCTGACTATAAGTAACTTTATTAGGATAACCAATTCTTCTGGTTTTTATTACTACAAACTACCACAAAACACCCACCATGTTAAGTACCTTAATTTCTCACCTTAGTATTGACTTGATGATATCAACTAATTTGATTATTCAGAGAAATTAAGTTCTTGTGTCCAAGTAAATATACTTCTTTGCATATGTTCTGCATTCTCTTATTCTACTTCACATCTATAATCCATTTCCTCCTCTTCTTTCTCCCTCCCTCCCTGGCCATCTCATCCCCACTCCTCCTTACTTACCCAGGGGGAGTTATCAGTGCAGCCGGGGTCATTAATTAGCACCGAACACAGTGACAAGTATTACATTGTTACAAATTGGTTAATTACCCTGCGCACGAGTGTGTGCGTGTGTGAGAGAGAGCGAAAAGGGAGAGAGTTGGTGTCGATTCGGGGAGTTTGTAGGTAAGCTCAGGCCGCGGCAATCAGCCTAAGGAGAAATGTGTGTAAACCAATGGAGGAAACCAGTTATCGATCCACCTGCCTGCCTCGCAGCAGCTGAAGGAACAAGGCAACACGAGCTGATTTATGGGGTGACCACAGAAATTCTCAAAGTGTGAATGGGAAGAAATGAGAAGCAAAAGACGGGGGCGCCTCATGTCGGCGTTGGAGATTTTCGACATCTCGTCTCAGTTACTGAGCGTGTCGTTTTCCCCGGCGTTAGAGGGGAGCTGGAAACAGCTTGCAGAAAAAGAACGAGGACCGTCTTCCAGGCTCCTGGTTCGAGGAATGTCCGTTCACATCAGCGTGCACGCGCTCGCTGTTTGGAACCAATTTTCTATATGTGTGGGTGTGTGTGCAGAGGGAGGCTAACCCTAACAAGAAAGCCCTACAATAAAAAGCCTCCTTTGATCCATCCTTTCACCTTTGCAACCCCCCTCTTAGCCTCTTTTTTTTTCTTTTTTTTTCTCCCCTTCCTTCACACCCCTTCACCCCTCCGTTTGAACATGCCAACGTTTGTAACACAAGGCTCTTTCTTGTCTTGGTCAGCTTTGGCTACACACACACACACACACACACACATATACATTCTGGCTCTACAAAGGTGAGTCTGTGAGTTAGGACAGCGGCGTGTTTATTTTTCCAGCGGCCAGTGCTCCCGACAGTTGCCTTTATTGTTCATTGTTGGCGGATGGATGGAGCGCGGGGGGGAAGTGAGGGAGAAGGGGGGGAAAGGGGGTGTCGGTGGGTGCAGTGGGGGTGGCGGTGGGTGAGGCGGCAGCTACCAACAGGGGAAGACAAATGGATGGCTCTCACCTTCCCGAGCGGTCAAAGGCCAGGTCAGCAGACATGGCCTACGCCCCCCCCCCGGACACAGATCTCGTCTTCTGGCTCCCCTCTTTCATCCCCTGCTGTGCTTCTCTTTCTTTTCTCCCCTGTTTCCTTCTCTTTCTCCCTCTTTTCTTGTCCTCATCTGGTTTGACTGGTGCAGGAATGTGGCCCTGTTAAAGGTAGCAGCTGAAGAACAATGGGGGATTGTGCTGTTCCACACTCCACGCACGCACGCACACACACACACACACACACACACACACAAGGCATGTAGGCAAACATCAATATATATGACCAGACATGGGCGCACACACATACTGATTTTGCCTCCGTGTGCCTCTCTCTAACTACATCCTGTTGAATGATTTAGGCCTTGTGTGGAAGCGCGCGCATGTGTGTGTATGTGTGTTTGTAATGGAGCTGGTATGTCAGGATCTAAGGAGTCAAAGGTCAGGCCATGCTAAATGTGAGCAGGAGGTTGGCTGACTGCAGGGTAAACACAGACCAGACACACTCTCCTTCTCTCTCTTTTCCTTCTCTTTTTCTCACAAGCACACTCATAGGAAAAAAAATGCAACTCAATACTGCTACGGAGCACTTCCAAATTTATCCATATTTCAGCACCAATCGGATAAATATTGATTGTACTTTAAGTTTTAGTGAAGAATGTCAATTTGCAAACCTGGCTGAAGATTCGTTTTGTTTGGTAAACGTACGATTCTGGCTCAGACATTACATTTGCTTTGCCTCTTCTTCCCACCACATTTTGCCTGTTTACAAATACTTCCTCAGCCAGCTTTATTTTCTTTATTTCAATACGGCAATAAAAGCGGTGATGGATGTGGCTTGATTAATCACTGCTGGCCTTCTGTGCCCAGGAGAATGAGTCAACATCTGGTTTTACAACCCTGCTGCACACAAACGGCACTTTACCCATCTTCCTTTGACATGCCCCCTTCTACCATTCAAAGCCCCTAACCAGTCATATATTAAGTCAGCTAACAAGTCATGGATAGCTTTGCTCTGTTTTTTCTTTTTGGTTTCTCTGACCCTGACTTCAACCCCAATGATTCATGCCATCCTTTGTATTGCCATTTTAATTTACAAAAACTGAAAAAAAAAACAGTAAACTACAGGGTTCCTTTTAATATTTGAGGTGCTCGGACTCATCCAGCTGTAATCAGCCTGTTTCTAATTTAACAAAGGAAATATCAAGTCTAAAAACTGGAAGTGGAATTTCAAAAAGCACGGGGTAACCTTAGCAGAGTACTGCTTATTTCATATCACCTTTGACCTCTGTTGCCCCCCCTTCTTCACTCTTGCCCTTTAGGTACCCCAGACAGCCTGGCGGAGAAAGAGCGCCAACTCATGGGCATGATTGGCCAGTTGAGCAGCCTGAGGGAGCAGCTCTTGGCGGCCCATGAGGAGCAGAAGAAGCTGGCCGCCTCACAGATGGAGAAGCAGAGGCAGCAGATGGAGCTCGCCAAGCAGCAGCAGGATCAGGTATAGGAGCACGGTGCATGTGAAGGGCCTCATTTGGAAATGGCGTTTACTCCATGCCTATGCTGCAAAAAGAAAAAAAAAATGTCCATACTAACAAGCCATTCAGTCTCCATTACTTGGTATATGGAGCACATTGTTTGATTGATCGCATTGCAAAATGTAAACTTCAAAGGTCAGTACTGTTTAAAATGCATCTTATAGGTCTACAACAGAAGGTGGATTTGAAAAGCAACAAATCACAGGATTTTCTGTCCCCTGCACGCTCTTTCTTCCACACACACACACATCTCATGCAGCGCTCAAGCAGCCAGAGACATGCGCCTTTGGCAGCTTAAACACAAGGACATTACACAGGAATCAGCTGAGGGTATGTAGTGTTGGAGCGGATGTAGAAGAGACATACACACACTCCCAGCTCCCAGGCGAGAGTCTGCCAGGTATTTGCATAGAGAAGGGTTTCCCTTTTTTTGCCATGCTTTTTTGCTCCTGGAAGGCTTGGTTTTACAAAGAGAAGGATGGGCCCACACACACACACACACACACACACACACACACACACACACACAGAAATACAGCTGTAAGGACAAATCACCTGTGACAAACACAATGCATTACAGTGCTCCTGGCTTCATCCTGCACCAGCACACAGTGAATGACTCTGACATTATGGAGACTGTACTCTATGTGAATTCTTGTGTTTCTCCATTTCTTTTTAGGAGTTGCTGGAGTTTCAGCTCAAAAGTTACTTATGTTTTCGCTGTAGCTGTTGTGTTTCATTGAAAGCATTGTTTTGAATGCAAAACTAAAGGTAAAGAAAGTGAAAAATTACCTTTCAAGAACAAAAGTATTGGTATTTTTGTCTGTTTTCTAGGATTGTAGAAGCCAAATTTCACATAATTGTGTAATTCTTTCCTAGTTAAATAAAAGACGCAGTCACATAAGTGAAAACAAGCAGGTTTATATTATCCTATGAGGCTAACTGTTAAAAATTGTGTGCTCATTATTTTCAGCTAACATCCGTATATCAAAAGCAGTCAGTTGTCAGCATGTCAGTAAGTGGGTCGGTGTTGAGTCCATATGAAATTAGCTTTTTAATATTTCATACCAGGGCACTGACCCTCTGTCGTGCAACTGGGGCATCAGAGACCTGCAGATGTGTCGCATCTCCCACAGGCTCTGCACACACGAACGCACACGCATGCACTTTGTATGCAGTTCTAAAAGCGCATGGTGTGCTCTGTCCACAGATTGCCCGGCAACAGCAGCAGCTTCTACAGCAGCAACACAAAATCAACCTCCTGCAGCAACAAATCCAGGTGAGGCCAGCTTGTGTCTGCATGGCCATCCATATGATGTGCGCGCATGTTTGTGTATGTGCCCTTTGTGTGTTGGGTTTGTGTGAGCGTGCGAGTATGTCTGCGCGCGTGTCGGCATCACCCACAATAGCAATTTTGTGATTGTGATTGTTGCAGCTTTTCTATGCTCAGCCATCAGCATTTGGGGCCTGAATCAACGTTGACTTATAATGGTGACCCCTCCTCCTCTAACATACACTCATACACAACCTGTGTAATCACTTAAAAATAGGTCGGTCTGCTTGGAAAAATCAAAAGTACTCTGTTGGCAGTATGTGCGGTTTAAGTGATTATTACATAAATCCAACTTGCTTGTCACACTGTCGGTGAAGTCCACTTTTCTGATGTTTATTCCATTGTGTCTGAGAGTGACTGTTAAAGGAATACAGCACCAGCTAATCAACCTAGATAATGGTAGCAAGTGTGAAAGAGAGACTCAGACAAGTAAAACCTTATTTTCTGATTATTTCAAGGCTGTTACGTTCTAAAGTACAAATAAACACACCCACCTCGGCACAGCTCTGCAGGAAAGTTCCACATTGTTGACTTTTGTACGACTGCAAACCCATAGGAACTATACTGTCCAATATGGCATCCTTGCTCTTTTTGTGCGTGTCTAAGCCCCTACCTGATTAACCTGGTTGCTACGACTCACACTGTTTTCCCCTTTTGAACAGAGGTTGATGCCAGAAACACTCTTAACACTGCAAAATAATAATAATAAAATGAGAATCCTCACACTCTCATACTGCAGGCCAAGTAGTACCCTGTGTTTAAAAATAAATAAATAAATAAATAAATAAACGTTTCAGTTGTAGATGTGATTAATATTGCGTGATATTTTTGAGTTGGGTGGTTGTTGTATGAGCTACTTGTTTATGTTCTCGCTTCAAAGGAGATTTGTAAGGGACTTTCATCACCACCGAATCCTATGAAATGCAAAATCAATAGGCCTTTATTTAGTAATGGCCAAATCTTATCATGTGGTGTGTAAAAGTGAATGTTAAATAGCCAGTAAAGTCAAATAAAACTGCAAAGTAATTCAAATTAAAAGTCCCTTTGAATGTGAGCCTGGTCCTCGGCTTGAGAAAATGGGTGGGTTTATATATGTAACACTTAAAAATGGAAGTATTGTACTTTTGGGTCCATACACTGGAGCCTCTATTTTGGTCCAGGTGGCTTGGAACGAATAGCCCAGCCCTTTGTAAAGGCAGATGACACTGAATTTTAAGCTGAGAAAGCTGGGCTTTGTATCATAAAGAGACACCCTGTCCAAGAAAGCGCACACACACACACACACACACACACACACATACACACACACACTCCCTTTCCCCTGAGAGTTTAGCCATACACGGTTTGTGTGATAAGAAACCTTGTGATAGCATGTGTGTAGGACGTGTGTCTGTGTGTGTCCACGATACTGTGTAAAGCAGCTGTGTTTATTTGCTTTATGCGAATTAAATTCTTAATTGTCCGCGTTTTGTCTCTCTGACAAAAAAAGCGAGCACATGTTTGCGTCTGAGGAGTTCTCTGTGCCTTCTCCATGCGTTCGTTTCTTAACCCATGCGCTTGTGTGTGTGTGTGTGCGCGCGCACTACAGCTGTGTGTGTGAAGCCATAAACACGTCCGCTCATGATTCACTCCCTCACGACCCCGCCGAGACAAAGCTCTCTTTTCCCATGACTTTGCAACCTTTTCCCAAACAAGCGTCTCTCCATTGAACGGGCCCAACAATAGTTTCTCACAAGCAGGGGCAGCTGTAGGCAGCCTCGTTAAGAGAGACACACAATCAACAGGCGCTCATCACAGCAGCTCAAAACACTTAGACATCCACATATATGTTGCACACAACAAAGTATGCGAATACACGGACAAACATCCAAAATATACGCCTTCCCTTGCCCGTTCACACATATCACAAGCGGTCGTGGAGAGTGCTGCACACTCGCTCGATGATCAAACACACACTCGTCATCAAAGACTTGGTTGAGAAATACACTGCTTAATCATTCATGAAGAGATTGTCCACACAATCCCACAATACAATGGCCTGCCAGAGAGAGGGCACCAGGTTCAGTGTGTTCGGGTGTGTATGTACGTGTATGTGTGTTTTGTGTCTGTATGATAAGCCCCTTGTGATTGCATTTCCCCCTAACAAGGCTGAGTTCAGCTGTCCCTTCGTGTGTGTGTGTGTGTGTGTGTGTGTGTGTCTCCGTCCTTGGCTTTGTTAGACTTGAACCCCCAAAGGCCTGTGAAGAATGCTTTCAACCGTCCACTTGGAAGAGGTGATGAAATGAAACGAATAATCAAGCTCATGAAAAAGAGAGGAGAGTGACACACATCCTTCATGAAAAGAGGACAAATTATTTATTGTCCTTGTGTCTGCTTTCTTTTCTCTTTTTTTCCCTCTCAGGCTAGTGATATGCGTGTTAGCTTTCGCTATTTAGGCCAGCAGCACTCGCCGAATGCGGTGTAAGAAAGTTCATTTGCACAGACGGGCATAACAGCAGCAGAGGCTAATGGCATACAGTACGAGCAGCACACGCACACGTGCACCTTCATTGTGTAGACGCTCATTAGTCTTCACAAGTCGGTGATTGGCTGTCTTCTCACTCTAATTGATTCTACCTGAAATGATCCATGATTTAGCATCACTTACAATCCATTAATTTTAATCATCCACTACATACACACACACTCTCCCTCACATTCACATTGTTTTACTTTTGAGTGAGCTTTCATAAACTGTCCTAATCCTCAATCTTCCCTGGATGTAACCCTTACTTTTATTGTGATAAACCGTCTAAACCTAACCTTTAATTGAAGTCCTGACCGTACGTTATCTCTAACTTTGCCATAATCCTACACCAAAACCCCAAACATGACGAAACCTTTCCCTCTGGTTAAGCAGAGACCTTGAAAAACACCCTTTATGTTATAAAACTTTGTGTTCATTCCAAGGGTTCAGTCTAACTTGTCCACACAGAAATTCCAAAACAGGAACATGTGTGAACATAAGGACGTACAAGACACACAAAAACACATGCACACACACTTTCCTACCCCCTGCTAGGGGCCTTCTTGTTAAGCTTGAAGGGGTGAGCACATTTTCTCAAACTTCTCTTTACTTTCCTTCTCGTCTCGTCTCATTCTAATTAAACGTCTTGTCTCCGAGGCTCCCCCCGGTGTTTGCCGGGGACGACTGTTGCTGCCGTGCGAGGAAGCGCGACAGGGATGAAAGCAGCTCACCTGCCGTGAGGCTCAGGGCTTACCTTGAGAACACGCACACATTTTTATAGAATTGCCAGACACAAATGCACAATATATATTGAAACAGAGGGATGAGAGAACACAAGTGTGGCCTGCCTAATGAATCAAAACTCACTCATGCAAAGCACTCACACACACACTTTCAACTGTGTCTGCTCCTGTTGCGCTGCCCCTGTGTGCTGTCTTTAATCTCATCAAGAATCACTACTGCTATAGGTCAAAGGCAGCAGAGAGAGAGAGAGAAAGGAGAAAAAAAATCAGAAAATGAGTAAAGCCACCTGATGCTTTGACTGGTTTAAGAGAGCCCAGAATTGGCGGCGACAGCGGCTAACAAGGTCTCTATTAAGGCCATCCTACACTGGTAACTCAATCTCACATACACAAAGCTAAGTGTAATACCTGATGCAATCACAAGCACAAACTCCTGTCTCTATCTGTGTTTTTCATTGTTGGGAAGAGGCAGACAAAAACATTGAAAAACATTTATTGATTTCCACGCACACGGTGCAGACCATGAACGTAACGCAGGAGCACCTCTGTAGTCTTTGCATAGGAGCAGCTAACCCAATTGGCTGTGTAATTATTTAATCACCCCCATTACACCGCAGCCAGTGTAATTTGTGTTTTCCTTACACAGTGTGTGTCAGCATGCACACACACGTATGCACTAATAAACTGGACTGCAACCAAACAGCCTTTTTCCCACTGAGGCCCACCCTCTCGCTCTCTCACACACACACACACACACACGCTTTCTCAGGCACAGATATACCTGTGTGTGCATCCTGCAGTGGCACTGCCACCTGAACCATGCCCCTACATTCACAGCACACTGGCCTAATAGCCCACTGTCCATAGAAAGTTAATGGACTAATATTAAAAGCCAGCTCCCTCTCTCTCTCTCGGTCTCGCTCTCTCTCTCCAAATTAATTATTGGTTCTATCGCTCGCACATCCCCTCTTCAGCAATAGGTCATACAGGTCTTGCATTAATTGCCGGAGCATATGGTCGCCAACAGATTTTAGCTGTGGGACTCGCACTTTAGCGGGGGCTATTTTTTCGCGCGCTCAGATGCGAGCCATATTGTGCGGCGCTGGCAGCTATTGTTCGGCGCATTAACTTCATAGAGCTAATTACTCCCCAATAATAACTTTACCTTGGAGTTTTTAGCGCAGCGCGTGCCAACCAACCTGTTTCGCACCCCATATGTTAATTAGCGGCCACATCTTCATTATGCCGCAGCGGCGCTTTAAGTTCAAGCTGTGCCGCCTGGCGCGTGGTGAACGCAGCCTCGACTCGCTGCCAATTATCCAACTCTTGCTCCCCTCTCCGTCTCTCTTCCTCTCACTCGTTCTCCCTCTCTTGTTCATTCTGTTCTCTCTATCTGCTGTTTATTTCCTGAGAAGTTGTCTCGCCAGGGTGAATTGTCAACTTCTCTCTCTCTTTCCGTCCCCTTTGCCCCTGTGAAATTTCTCGAGAAAAAGTTTCACACTTGTTCTTAATATATGTGATTTTTTTTTTCCCTTCTTCTTCTGCTTAGAGTAATTTTTTTCTTTGTTTTGCATTTAGCTTTCACTGATTAGAGGCATTTTTCAGATCCGGTTTCGTTTCAGGTTTCTGTTTTGGGTGTGGAGGTGGGGTTTGCAGATGAAAGCGGCAGCGCCTCTTATTCTCCACGTCAGCAGTAGCAGTGTGAAGATTTGTGTGTGTGTGTATTGTAGGTTTTCATGTTCGCTTTGGGCCTGATGTGAAAGAGAAGCTGAGGAGCGCATTATTCCCAAAGCTCCTGCTGTTTAAGATGTGCCTTTTCCTTTATGTGAGATCTGGAGATTGTCTGATAGATCCAGCCTTGCTCTCCCTTTCTCCTACTCTTACTTTCTCCCGCTTTTCTTTTTCCTTCTGTCAGCTCATCTTTGTCTCTGATTTTTATAGCACTCTCCCTCCCTCTTCTTCTTGTTGGTTTCAAAGTTTACGGTGTGATCACAAGGCAGAGCTCGTGAGTTGCTTTAAGGCATTATTGTATATTCAATATTAAATGGGAAAGAAAGCTCCTACAGTATCAGAGTGATTGATCCTCTGTATTATGTGATAGCCACTCCACAAACAAACACACTCTCAGTTTTTGAGTCCCTCGCTCAACTTGCTGCGACCCACGTTTCCTGCTTTGTGTGGCTTATGAAAGTCGATAAGTGTGAGTGTCAGTGAGCACGTTAGGCGATTGCTGCTACTGATCGGCTCAGCAGCTGTTACACTAACTCAGCTACTATGAGAGCAACCTATGTATGGGAATTGTTCTCTATAAACCATTCCCCATCTCACTCTTGTCTCTGTTTCTCATCCCTTTGTTCTTCTTCCTCCTGATCTTCTTATCCCATTGTGATGACTCATACTGTACATAATGCGCAACAGTTCTGTAGGCTGATTAATGTCTGCCTATTGTATGCAGGCATATTGTTCTGAGATTTAGAAAAGGAGGGGATGATATAGAGGAGAAGGTAGCTTTTTGTGGCGTTTTCATTGGCAAAGAAAGAAGCAAAGTCATGTGCAGACACTGAGTCACACAATATAGATATACTAGTGTGTGTATGTATAGTATATATGTGCTACATCTGCCTCAAACTTATCTTACTCTGCTCCTCTGCTCCCCTTCCCTCGCCTCCCTCCGGTATATTACAGCATTTCTAGCCAGCTCTACTCCAGCATATGTCCAATTAGGCCTGAAAGGCAAAGCAGAACTGTTCTGTCTGTGATTCGTCCCCGCAGGGGTCCTGTCCGAGCGTCGCTCTGGAACGCCTCCCCCTTCTGATCGTGCGTCGCAGGCGGCACGACGGTTTATGGTTAACCAAAATGGTGGAGTAATTATTGTTTTTGGTGTAAGGGGGGAACAGGAGCTGCGCTGTGATAGTTTGATTACAGTGCTGCTGGCTGCCGCGTGCCGACACACACAGGAGCGGGAGGAGGGGGATGAGGAGGAGACACAGAAACACACACACACACGCACAGGAATTTACAGTACACTGTAAAATCACTGTTGATACTGAGCGACAGCCACTCTCTCTCTCTTTTTTTTCTATTTACCTGTCTCAAACACTAACCACTTAAAGGGCTCACATTGCTGAGACATTACCCGATTGTACCGTGGCACCACCACCATTCTTTATGATTGTGCAGCCATTTCCTTCATTCCAGATCAATTTTCCACATCAGTCAGCTTTTACTCACCCATTATCCTATTCAGCCATTACCTTCTCTGGTCTCCTGGCAAAATAAGAGTGACAGAAGAAGAGGAAGAGAGATTAGTTGCAAAGAGGGAGCAAAGTGCTTTGCAACCAGACATGTGCAGGTCATGGGCCTTAAGACATTATCAGGGATTTGATTTGAGCGGGGAAGCCTCACAGTTTAACACGGAAACTTCAGGATGCCCGTCTTTCCTTTTTTTCTTTTAAATTGAACATAGCATTAGTTCTGGCAGGTTTCACAGTCAGCCTGAGGCAGCAGCCCTGGCAGATCAGCTGTTCTCATTGACAGTCACATCAGCTGATGGCTCAGCTAATAGCTTTCTGTGCATCGTATTTGCATATTTGAAAGCTGCATATCATCAGCCTGGTTGCTGTGGCCTCTGCAGGCCGCTGTGGAACCCAACTTCATCTCCTTTCATCCCTTTTTAAACTCAGTCAGTGTCACATCTGTTACGTCACTGATGCCTATTCTGTTCTGAGCTACTCCTGAATTTAGTCTTTCCACAAATGCACAGGGAGGTCCCGGAACAGAGGCATACTGCCAAATACAAATTACTGCAGATGGAAAAAACAATCTTCCTTTTGACTGTAGTGCTCCTGACAGAAATCTGTTTATACTGTAAAACAGAAAAAGACATCATTAAAGGTATAGTTAAATTGACAGAAGCTGTGAAATTGTTAATTAAATATATTACACTTCCAAGACCTGCTTCTTGTACTTCTAATTTTATTTGAGTACAGTGTGGGCGCAGCATTGTTGTAATCTTGCCATTTAATATTCAAAAAACTGGTGGCCAATAAAAAAGGCAAACTGTATGCTTCTCGTTACTGAATAAAAACAACAAAGAGGGCAAGATGTGTCCTAGGGCTGGCTCAGAGGATTACGCAAGATTGTCGCATTATTTTTTTAAACTCGGACTTTTTTAGAACAATTTCACCATCTTTGCTTTGGGATGCTTTGCTGTCTTCATCTCGCGTTACACCTTAGCTATAGGTAGAAACTCTCCATTATTTCCTTCCTTCTCCCACCTTTTTCCACTCTCCCTGTCTTCCTCGCCTTATCTTCTCCTATCTTTCCTCTCAAACTGTCAGTCAGTCCATCACGCGCAAGTCTTTGTGTGTTGTTTTTGGCAGAACGCTGTTTAGTGCAACCATCTGTCTCCTACTTCTCTCTCCTTCTCTCTCTCTCCTGTCATCCCTGCCAAAGTCACCCATCGGAGGAGCTTCTTTTTCTTTTTCTTTTTTCTTTTTTTTCTCCCTTCGTCTCCTTTTAAAATCCTGGAAACCTTATGAAGTCGTATGGCTCTCTGCCGACAGGCGCGCACACAGCGTTGTGTCTGTGTGTTTGTATGTTAGTGTGTGTTTTGGTTGGTGGGAGGTTTGATGCAGGGAGAAGGGAAGAGAGCACTGTCTTCCAAATAAAACGAAAAGGCCAGCTGTTGTTAGAGTTTAGTGAACTGTCCTCGTGACGTGGCTTTTTGTGTTTGAAATGACATGATGCTCTCTTTACAGCCGTGTGTTGCGCATTGATTACATGCATACAGTGTATGTATATGAATGCATTTGATTGTGTTACTGTGCAAACACACCTTTATTTTCAGCATTGTTCATATCGCTCCCAGCGCATGCACACATGAAGAGCTGTACAAATGGACAGGTCGTAATGTTTATCCCTTCTCATTTCCCTTTCTTTTCCCCCTTTTCCGACTTCCTCCCCCCTTGTTCTTCCCCCTCCTTCATCAGCAGGTCCAGGGCCAACTCCCTCCACTGATGATTCCTGTCTTTCCCCCAGACCAGCGAACTCTTGCGGCAGCTGCGGCCCAGCAGGGCTTCCTAATGCCCCCTAGCTTCAACTACAAGCCTGGCTGCAGTGAGTGGCATCCGTGCGCGCACACACATGCTGTACATTCATGAATAGGTGCAACTTTCAGAGTAGCTTTTATGTGTGATGTTTCACATGTTTTTCACCAAGCAAGCAAGGTAGAGTCCTACCATTTTCCCACACAAGGAGTCTGGTTGTTTCCCAAAAGACGAGCTCGCCCCTATAACAACATCTCCCTCTTAATAGAAAAACCAGTCCAAATACACCCTTCCTGTTTACACTCTCTTTATCTCTCTCTCCCTCTCTCACTCAGTCCTTTTGGCTCCTTCCTTTTGTCTTGTCTATTTTTTGATGTATAAAAGCAACAAAATGAAGGCGTCCTGCAGAATTTTTTTTTTTTTTTTTTTTGGCTATCACGCTCCGGCTGTGTGGCAATGTGTTGTTTACCATGATAGAGAGAGAGAGAGAGAGACACAGAGATGGGGAGAGAGAGAGGAAAAAAGGAGAGGTTGGTGCTTGCCAGGGGATGCTGAGAATAAATGCACAGTGGGGGGGGTTAGCAGAAGGGGGGGGAGGGAGGGTGGTAATGTGACCTGCCCCAGGTTCTCCTCACATTAACACGGGACGCAGCCAGAACATGTTTCCAAAGCAGCCCCCACACACACGCGCGCGCGCACACACACACACGTCCAGACAGCCAGAAATGGCTTTGTGGAATTGCAAACACACACACACACAAATCAGACACAAATATGTAAGTGTGCGCACAGGCTCGTGCATACTCCCCCCCACCCCACCCCACTTAGAGTTTCACAGCTTCCCAAACAAGTCCATTCCATTTTAATTAGTGCCATCTTCACCCACGCCCACTGCCCACGTAAATACCCTGTCAAGTAGTGGGCTTGTCTTTTCACTGCCTCAGCCAACTTCAACCGGACTGGCACACTGCGGCAGGCCAAGCCGCCCCTGAGAAAACTCTCTGGCAACTTTCGAAGTTGTTGTGAGTCGATGTAGTTTGGTGGTGAAGCTCTAAATAGGACATGTGTAGCATTGTGCGCTGACATATTCTCACGGCGCTTCGCAGTTTGGAAGACAAGAATACATTTTATTTGCACAGTATGGATTTCTGCGCATTCCAAGCCTCTCCTGTTTAAGCACTTGAACAGTAACGCAGTCTTTTTTCACGCTGCAGTTTAAGAAATCAGCTAGCGTCTTCGAGGGAGGGATAACGAATAAATAAGTGCAAAACATACCTGCATTTATGGTTGTAACTTTTTGAAAAAAGCTGGAAGCTTAATTCCAGCTATTTTTAGGGTAGCTTTGCATGAACAACAGTTCAAAATACTCTTCTTTAATCTGATACTAAACCTTGACGCTGCCCCTCAATTCATCCACAGTCTGAAACGTGCCAGTTTAGATTTTCTTCCTTAAACCCAGATGGGCCCGCACTTTCAAACAGAAGCTTTGAGCAGAAGCTGGGTGGCATTTCTGTGCTTGAGTCTGGAGGAGAGGCTGAGATGACCATATCAAAGATCTTTGATCTAATGTTTACTCTTTATGATATCATATGGATCAAAACATGTCTGCGTGTGCAACTTCATACTAAGAGATCACTTTGTTATTTGAAATTTTGGCCATGTTTTATATCTTTAACTTTCAGAGTAAACAGGAAAAACCTAAAACTTTGGCCTAAATATGCTGTTTCCCGCTCTAAAGTTTGACAAACTCTGTTTTATTTGTTTGTTATTTGGAGATGAGACTAAAGTGATTCAAAGGGTGTTTTAGAGATGAGTAACCTAAACTAAACACCCCAAGTTCAAAACACAGGTTTTTCTTTTCAAAAATTAAGTCTGAGTAACTTGAGAAATTGTTCAGAAAAAAGTAACACAGAAAGCTTTACTCTTTATGGTAAGAAAACTGCATCGTCTCACTGTTGCTTTCATGTTGAAAGATTCTATAATGCCTCTTTAAAAATAAAAAATGTGCAAAATTGTAACATCAAAGTGTCACTGATAATGTTTTTGTATATATCACTTGCCCTCATCCATCTCCCTCATTCGTCTGTTTGTCAGTGAGAAATCTCAGCCTCGTCCGCCTAGGTCGCTGTCCCCGAGCCAAGAGCAACATGTTTGCTTTTCTCTGTCCTTCTCCCTTTTGTTACAGCGACCCCCAGGAGGAGCATAAATATCCACTGGGCTCATGTTTGTCCAGGGAGCAAGGAGAACAGACCAATCTCCTAGAATACACAGTCCTGAAATAATTCTTTAATCCCTCCTGCCCTCCTTCCCAACTGGACAAAGGAATGTCTCAGCTTTGCTTTCACCCTCTTTTTTCTTTTTTGTGTGTGTTATTTTTAAGAGTGAAGATATATGGGAAAATATGTTGTAAGGAAAGTCTGGCTTGTGCCAAGCTAGGACACAAAACGTACACGGGCAAATACACACAATAGATAGAGCCAAGAGGCTGATCACTGTGCTCAAGGTTCAGGTCAGAAATGCAAGGTCAAGCACTGAGAAGCTTCTCGAGTTTTCTTCAGATGAAAGAAGTTTCCTGGATTAGATATCAGCACAAAAGCCCGATCTCGTCCACCAACTCCTCTTTAGTTAGAGAGCAAGTTCAAATACACATCGGAGCTTTCAACCAGCATGTTTGTACAATATGACCATAATTAAACACCGTATCCTCTTCTTTTCTCCCTTCTGCTCCTCTCGCTGCTATCCCTCACCCTCCACCTTCTCTTTCCTGTTATCTCTGACCTTTCTCTCCCTCTTTTTCTTTCTTTCTCTCTCTCTGAGTAATTACAGTGCAGCCTATCTGCACTTACTAACTAATAATCCAAACTCGCCCCTTTCTCCCCTTTCTTTCTCCACCTCGCTTCTGTCATCTCTTCCGCCCTGTTCATCCATCTATCTCTTGATTTATCACTCCTGACAGAAGGGCGAGAGAGGGATGAAGGAAAGGAAGAGACAAAATGGAGAGGTAGCGAGTAACTTGTGAAGAAGGCACCAAGAAGGAAAGAAGCAAAGGAGAAGAGTGAGGGGAGCAGTGAAAGCAGCGCTGTGTCCACAAAGCAGGAGAACAGACAGTTGAGGGGAAAAAAGGGAGAGCGGAGAACAGCAATCGGCAGTCGCGGCTCTTAATTACGGTGCTGGGGCCGGCTTTATCAGAATCCCTTCACCTCACTGCTCTTTGTCAGGGGGTATTAAGGAGGAGGACACACAATCAGGCTTTTCATTAGGGCCCTACCGGCAGCGGACACAAAGGATGGCTTTAACAGCTGCAGAAAGGGACTCAGGTGGCAGCGGTGGTGGTGGTGGGAGAGAGGGTTTATGGGGGAGAGGAGAGAGGGAGCAAGAGACTAAAGCGGGATGAGAGGGAGGAGAAAAACAAAAGGATGAGGGGAAAGAGTGAACAAGAGAGATGGAGGCTGATAGGAGAGGAAAATGGAGACGTGGGTGGAGAAGGGGTCACAGAGCCATCCTAGTCTAACAGGGGGGAGGTGGAGAAATTGAGGATAAGGTGCCATTGGTGTGTAAAGTGCTCGAAAGCAGTCATTGTTTTTAATTTGATATTTCATTTTATATAGAAAAAATGTGATTCTTGTCTTCAGGTGACCCCTACCCTCTCCAGCTCATCCCCACAACGATGGCTGCTGCTGCTGCTGCCACACCAGGTCTGGGACCCCTACAGCTCCAGGTAAGGCTATAGCACCTACAGTTGATCTCTCAGAAATAAACGTAGGGGCCAGAAACATAAAAATGACTTCCAGCAGTAGCCACAAACCTTCAGATATATCACAGACGTTTCTCTTCTCACTGGGATGATGCCATTGTGAACAATTCCCCTAACCCTGACAGTGTTCACACCACATTCTGCTGCCCACTGAGCTAGACAAGACCACAAACACAGCCACAGGGGGGGGATGCGCAGCTGTCACTTTCAGCCAAAGTGTTGACACCAAAGTGATCCCACAAAAACATGATCTTTATGATCAGGAAAGAAAAGCACACACAGAGAGATGTGACAAATGTAAGCGTAGCCCTCGGCTTTGTCCTGTGATAGGGAGCAAATGTGGTTGATGCAGTTCAGTGGGAGCCGGCATGCAGAGTAGAGCACAGAAATATTCAGATTGGCTGTCAGAGGTAATTTGGGGGTGATGCTGAAGACATTTCAATCTCCCTTAACAGCACAGACGTTACCGAAGGCTCTGAATAAACCAAAAGAGGGATATTTCTAACCTAAGGAATAGGTTTGGATCACTGTACTCAAGCATGCCTTTAAAATGAAGTGTCCAAAACTTTTCGCATCACAAACCAGAAGTCAAAGCATTAAATCATTCTTCAATCAATCATTCTTCATTTTATCTGTTTCGGAGATGTTGACCAAACAAAGGAAACTATGACAAAGTTGAACCCAGGATTTAAGGGGCAGCTTACATCTACATGCACCTCAAGGGACTCTGTGGAAAGCAGGGCAGAGATGAGAGAGAGTTAAATAGGAAAGGTAAAACACAGGTGGGAAAACAAGCTGACATCTGTTATCCAGCTTAAAAGGATGAGATTCGTGCTTTTCCTCTGTGTGTATGTAAAATAGGTGCCCCTATGGCGGCCACTTATGTAATCTTGACCACTGTCTGCCCTCACACGACTAGAACTCAGAGATCCACGTCGGCTTTGGGCCCCCCTCTCAGAGGGGTTAAGAGCTTGCACTGGCATCCTCTCACTCGCCTGTCTGAAACACATTAAGCACTAGTGCAGGGCTCACCCTCAGTACACTTGGCCACCTGTGTACATCTGAGAGAAACAGCTGCATTTGACACATGTTTTCATGTAGTTCTCCACGTCTTTTCACTTACACACAAGGGGAATGATGAGAAAATATGGGTTAAAGGTCAGACAGAGGGTGTGTAATACATTTGCACCTGTCAGCCAAAACGTGCAGCTCCATATGCTAGACACTACAGGGAGAATAGAATAGCTGTGTAACTCTATCATGGAGAACGGACCCCGCTGTCGTCACTGATTTCATTATTGCTTGCGCGCCTGTGTGTGTGTGTGTGTGTACGTTTGTGTTTAGCCCCAGAATAATTTTCTCTGTCTGTTATCACTGCCTCAATCTAGCTGTCCATATGTTCGACTGTGTTCAGACTCACTCAAAATCTCCAGTCGAACAGCTTTGTCCACCTTGCAATCAGACACACACACACACAAGCAGGGAGGGGCAAAAGAACACAACAAGTGCAAAAAAAAAAAAAAGGAAAACCCATCTCACTCAGTCAGATTTCTTTCTTCCAATCCTCCAAGAGAAATACACATCCACATGCACGCTCACACAAACGCAGGCGCACGTTGAGATTAAGGCTTTGTCACAAAGAAACGGATTTGCCAGGGCTAACACAAGTACAGATGTCTCAATGTGGATGGATTTCCTTTGGGATCGTCTCTGCGCCCTCATTTGATAAGGAGGTGTTTCTGTCGCCCAGACGAGACATGACAGTTAGCTCGGCCCTCGGGTCGCCACGGCAACACAGCGGTTTGGCGGGGAAGACACGAGTGAACCCATTCAGCCGACACGCATACACAAATGAAGACAGAAAATGAAAGATTTTCAGATACAATGGACAATAAACTAAGGTGCATTCAGGGGAACATGCAGACATGCCCACGGGTGTGTTATTTCAACATGTGGGCTGGACTTGAACCACACACACACACAAACATAGTGATTACAGTTTGTACACACGCTTCTCACATATGCTACACTTCCCGTGCGCCTGGGGTCTAAGGTTTAGTCTTCAACAATATGAAGAATCTATATTTGTTGTCCAAATTGAATTAAATTCAAATCCAATATATTTTGATTTGAAAAGGAGTTAAAGGGCTTTTTTGACAGTCCACAAAGAGCCTTTCTTATCTTAAGCACTATTGATCCGGTTTAGGTCGTTAACTTTGGTATCACAGCACATCTGACTGACTCACTTTGGGGAATGTGGTATATTATATACACCCACTGATACAATATAGGATCAAAAACTGCAGTTGGTACCTTGCTGGTTCAGTTTGCTTAAATTAGTATACCTGGCAATTTTATACATCCCTCTTAATTTTCTGCTAATAAATGACTGAAGTTATTGTTTAAAAACAGCAGCGGCTCCTGTACAAGCAGCTTGCATTGATGAAACTGTAAGCAGTATAGTCTGAGCTATGGATATTCTTCCTTTTCCAGTGTATAGGTGCAGGACTTTTTTTTTTTTGCTCACTCACTTATTTGCCTATGCAGGCATGAATACTTACTTTTAATACACTCATATATTAAGCTTCTCTATGTAGCTCACACTTTGAGCAGTTGCTAATGTGATTTTTTTTTTTTTATTGCTGATAAAGCTGTTAGAGGAGAGCTGTAGTCTAACTGGGCAGTTGTGTTATTAGGCTGTCTGTGTAGGAACAACAGCCACAGAGAAACTGTTCAGCTGTTACTCTATGTAACTCTAGTTTTATGAGTATGAGTGTAGCCTCTAATAGGCTTCACCACTGGTTGTCTTGGGTGGCCAGCTTTTAGTCTGTCGTGGCTGTGGTTACCCCTTGGCTCCACTCCTTGTCAAGTGCCAAAACACAGAACCCCACAATCTTTTGTTGGCACGTTATCAACTAACACCTCTGTCTTTTATGTCCTATTTTCTGTGACATAGGACTCTGCAAACCCACTAAAATGTACAAAAACAAACATATTTGTAATTTAAAGTTAGAGAACTGTTAAATTGATGAATTCTCCCTTAAAGTTCATAATATGAACAAGAATGTTACTTTGACACAATCCTGCATAAAGTTAGTTGTCAGGCAGTCAGCTCATATAAGCTGATAGCTCAGTTTTTATACATTTTTATGCATCCAAGTGGCAAAGTTTACACAGGGCGCAGTATTTGCTTAAACTTGCCCACATTTCCTGCACAACTGGAAGCCGCTTTGCGACCCACCTCCACCACAGCTCCTCCGTTCACACTGTGTGACTTCATCTGTGGTCATTAATGCCTCCTCTGTTCTGTATGAGGGTCCTTTTGCTGCTCTAAACAGAGTACAGCCTTACAGCCAAATATAAATAATCGCAGATAAAAAAATAATGTTTTTCTTTTGACTAAAGTGATTCTGACTGAAACTTCTTTTGTGCCAGTTTTTTTTTTTATTTCTGTCATCGCAGAAATCTCAGTCCTATTTGGAATCTTCTTCCTTGCAGCTGATACACTGTAGATACGAAGCAAGAAATCAAGTTTGGAATAATGGCTTAATCTGTGTGTATCCAATGTGCACATAGAAAGAAAGAAGACCGAAAGAAAACCTTTCAAAAGCACAGTGTCGAGATAAGTGCAGTTCTTAGAAAAATGTATTAAACTCAATGATTTTAAAGCTTTTTTTCTATGTTTGAACCGTCCTCCATAGAAATCAACAGAGTGGCTCTTAAAGTCAATAGAAGCTTAACACTGAATCCTCTACAGAAGCTTTTCAAGGCAGTGGAGGCTTTGGAGTGTACAAGGTTGGCATTTAGCATCTTAATCTGTGGGATGAGTGTGACATTGTGCATTAGAGCATGTTAATCTGGCTCCCTATTGACCCTTGATATCATTGATATCATCCACATCACACAAATGGACTGAGAAGGACAGACAGAGAATTGAAAAATGAAAAGAAAATCCACTTATCCTGGTGAGGGAGAGAGAGAGATTTGAGGTAACGATGAAAAGGCAAAAGTACCAGAGGATGATCAGCTGAAAGGATAAACAGAGAGAAAAAGAGATGAGGGAACGGAGGTAAGCACTGGAATAAAGTGTGTTTGTGCGCAACAAAGTGTGTGTGTGGCGTGGTATAAAGAGGGTCAATGGCATGGGTCAGGCATCATATGGAGAGGCAGATGTTGGAACATATTGTCCTGGATTACCGCACTGTACACCGGAGACATAGATGGACGAACAACGGATAGGCGGTTAGAGGGAGGAGGGGAGGGGAAAAGAGGAACAGATGAGAGAGGTAAACGAGAAATCAATCGCGCAAGTCGTTTTTTTCTACAAAACCTTATCTGGAAGGAAGACAGATAGCAACACAGCAGTTTTCTCAGATGCTTCAGTGTTGGAGGTGCTGAGAGATTTATTTTTGAGATTGCACTGTGAGCCCGTGAGCAGCAGGGATAGCAGATAAAACTTCTGAACCCTTAAGAGAAAAATAGATTTTTATAGAAAATAGAGTTCATAGAAACATTTTGGTGTATAAGTCCCACGTACTTTGAGCGGCAGTTTTTATATTCCGGCTTTAAATTCTGGTGAAATTACAAAATAAAGTATAGACTGCATTGTTGAGAAGTTTTTCACTTTAAGTAACCCAGCGATGTTAAAGTAAAAGCTAAATATTGGTTATTTCGTTCTATTCAATACTTTAAAGAGAGCACAAAGAAAAAGAAATAGCCAAAATACTTGAGATGTTTGCTGTCAAGGTATAAAGAAAGCATTGTAGTTATTTTATTTAAACTTGACCACTATATTGTGGTGAAGTAATCTCTCTGTGTGGGTTGTTTTTATTCAGTTTATTGTAGTTCAATCTCACATAGGTTTCCAAACAAGAACAAAGGCTCGAAAGCAAAATCGAAGAAGAGGTTGATAAGACGTAAAGATCGGACAGCGTTTGTGTCAGACGCTTCTGACTCATTATCAGTTTTACCGAGGCTTGTCTTCTTTTTTTTGCCTCTAAGTACCAAAACAACCCACAAGTGGGGGTGAAAAAAACACGCTTAGATAGACAGAGAAGAATCCATTAAGATCTATACAATAGTCCTCATGTCCACGTAAACAATAGAGCTCAGACCGCTCTGAGGCGCCCGCGTACTCGGACAACAAAGATGAGGCAAGCTTGTAATCTGTCTAAGGCTGCAGATTATTGACCAAGATTCACAGACACACACAGATCCCCAGTGACTAAGCTGACAAGAGAAACAGCAAAACAAGAGAATGGACACAGCTTATTGTGTGTGTCAGGGAAGATGCACACAAGATAGTGTCAGTACTACTAATACCACAGAGTGACCCCATGTTTTCAGTCAGAGAACACCAGCAGTCTCCCATCACCTCCCCACCTGATGTCAGTAGAGGTCGGGCTACACACAGACACACACACACACACACACACACACACACACACATGTAAAAATTCTATTGACATATTGCTTGTTTCACATTAAGGGATTAGGGACATAAAGAGGGAAGGGCTGTACAGCTCAGCAGTGTGCCTGGGTTGTGAGTGACATTTCAAATTCCTTAGTCTCATCCTGCAACTGCAATTGCACCCCCTCCCCAATCTGTGTGTGTGTTCACTCCTCTAGTCACCCCAGGGGGCTTTGCGCTGTCACTTCCTGTTTGTTGACATGTATGTCGTTGTGGCGACGCTCTGGGCACGCTCCACAGTGCCTCTGCCCTCTGTACCGTGTGTGTGTGTGTGTGTGTGTGTGTGTGTGTGTCTGTGCTCG